GGAAACAATGGGGGTTTGGGGGGGAAAATGGGGGTTTGGGGGGAAAAACGGGGGTTTGTGAGTGAATAAAAGGGGAAGCAAAGGGGGTTTGGGGTGGAAAAAGGGGGTTTTGGGTGGAAAAGAGGAGGTACAAAGGGGTTTAGGATGGAAAAGGGGATTTTTGAGGGGGAAAAGGGGATTTTGGGATGGAAATAGGGGTTTGGCGTTGAATAAAGGAGGTTTGTGGGGAGAAAATGGGGCAACAAAGGGGGTTTGGGGTGGAGAAAGGGATTTGGGGCTGAAAAAATAGGGTTTTGGGGTGGAAAAAGGGAGTTTGGGGTGAAAAAAGGGGATTTGGGAGTGAAAAAGGGGGATTTGGGGAGGCTGGAAGGGGTTTGTGGGAGATGTGAGGGGGTTTGGGGGGGATTTGGGGGATTTTGGATGGGTAGGAAAGGATTTGGGGGGCTTGAGGGGATTTGGGAAGGATTTGGGGTGGTGGGAGAGGGTTTGGGGTGGGATTTTGGGGGCTTTGGGGAATCGTGAGGGGATTTGGGGCGGGATTTATGAATGGGAGGGGATTTCGGAGACTTTGCGGGGGGGTTCAGGGTGGAGTGTGAGGGGATTTTGGGGGAATTTGAGGAGATTTCGGGTCAGTTTGGGGGCGCCGGCCCTCACCAGCTGCTCCCGGTACGGGAATTCCTTGCGCCCGTCGGCTCCATCCCGGTAAAACTCCTGAAAAAAGCGCTTCGCCTTCTCTGAGGGGAAAACAGAGAGCGAGAGGGGAGGGTCAGACACGGGAGGAAGGGTCGCGATATCGCGACAGTGTCCTGATAATCGGGGGGGGGTCCCGATAACGGATCGATAATGGATCAATAACGGAGCCCCCGCGCCCCCCGCCGGCCCCAAACCTTTCTCGCTGTCGTAGTCGCGCGGGGCCATGGCGGGGCCGCTCCGGTCGCGGTTCCCTGTCGCGGTTTTCCCCTCACGATCGCGATTTTCCCCTCACGGCCGCTCCCCCCTTTTCCCGCCACCGCCTTCCCCTCACGGCGAGTGGCGCGAAAAACCGGCGCCCACGTGACGGCCGCGCTTCCAATCAAAACGCAGGGGCCGCCTTCAGCGTGACGACAGCGCCGGCCAATCACAGCAGAGGACGCGCGGAGGCGGGGATAGATCGGCCAATAGGAGCGCGCGGCGGTGCCCACGTGCGGCGAGGCCACGCCCGCGGTGGGCGGGGCCGCGCGCGCGGCGGCGGCGGGAAGCGGCCCGGAGGTTCGGGGGGCCCGGGAGGGGCTTGGCCACGCCCCCTCTTAAAGGGGCCGCGTCGCTTTTTGAGGGGAATTTGGGGTTTTTTGGG